ATGTATGTATGTAGGTACAGTAGGCGGATGCCACGGTGAGTCAGCAATTAAAAATGCAACATACAGAGGGCAAATATGTATACATAAATATATCGTTATATAGTACATACATACATACATATGTACGAACGTATGTATATACATACATAAAAATATAAATGTCCATGTACACGTATGTATGCTCAAATGCACTTACAGTGAATGAATATTTGTAAGTAAACAAAAAAATACAGTTGTTTGTACTTGTAGGTAAACATAGGGTGCACATGTGCTTGTATGCACTCTATAAACAGTGGCACATGCCGGTGCAGTGCCCTGTAGGGAAAAACTTGTTAGAGTGTAGCAAAAAATTAAATAATTTTTTGATTTTAAAATGAAAAAAAAGAAAAAAAAGATAAAGCAAACAAATTCTGAAACGCATTTTTTGAAGATACCATTTTTCGGGATGTTTCGAGACTTTTCGATATTTTCTTGGGATTTTTTCCTGCTGTTTTTGGAATTCTCCTGGTTTTTCTTTTCGGATTTTCTCGAGATTATGCAGCATTCCTGGTCTTCCTTGGTATGTGTGTGGGATTTTCGGAATTTGAGATTGCTTTAGGCACTGGATAACAAAATGGAATATTTATGTAGTGATTTTCATAATTTTCGAAACTTTTCTGGATTTACCAGGGATTTTTTCTTCAGGTTTTACTTTTTGGTTTTTCTCCGGATATTCGGTATTCTTGGTTTTTAATTTTTGAGTATCTTTCGGCACATTTCGCAATGTTTTTCGCAAAAAAAAATTTTAATTCAGTATTCTGTATAACTGCACTAATGAAAACTAACCAAATTTATCTATCTTCATTCAATGAAGATGCAGAAACATTTAAAATAGTAAGCACCGAGTTTAAAAATTTAAGCGCAAATTTTCCTGCAAGGCTCAAATATATTTGCACAAATGCGTATACGAAGAAACGTAAATACAAATTGAAATTGAAATTCATATGAAATTCATGTCTACGCCTATACGTATGTATATGCAGTTATTTTTTTAGTCCTATTTTCCATAAGTTAATTTTTGCCTTCATTGCCTTTTTATTAGTATTTCTTTTTGGCGTGCAACGCCCCACGCTCAATATTTGCGCATTGTAGTGAAGTGAAACGCTTAACTATAAGCGCACTTTTTGTAGGCGCACATAAAGTTAAGTGATGACGCAGTTGCACGGTGTTCAAAAATCGGTGATTTGATGAGTTTTAGAAATATATGTTCACTTCGAAGAAAAGTAATTAAATGCATCTGAAAATATTTAATTTGTAGCATTCAATGGGCAATGGTAAGAATAGACGAAATACTAGTTTACTTAGCATCTATAAAAAGATTCATGATTGGAATCTAAATATTTCAACTAATTTCCATCGAGAATTTTATTCAGCAGAAAGAATATAGCTTTAGTATCATTTTCATAAAGGGAAAAAAGACATTGGGTAAAACAAACACCATTTAAAATACACATAGTAGAAGAACTGGTGGATCATTCAGAAGCAACTTTAAACAAAGTCGGTAAATTCATCAGAGAATGAATGAAAGTAGGATTTGCATAGGCATACATACACAATACTTGTTAAATCGACCATTTTGGATTTGAATATATTTTCCTTCTGTCATATAACGAAGTTCTGCCAATGGAAAAAAAATTGTTTTAAATATTTCTGAAAGCTCAAAATTTCATAATTTTCTGAATATTGAAAGTTTTTGTTGAGTATCTCGAAAGCGATTATAGTAGTTCCAGAATGGTTCTGGTATATGATTCGGTTAATTACCAAATGAAATGGTCATATCGGAAAAAGTACTGACTTATTCCCTTTGGTAAATAACCAATTCAAATAATATATTCATAAAAATTAAAAATAAGATAAAACTTTATTGTGAAATTTAAAAACTAGTAAAGGCAACAACTTGCATACATACATTTTTGGCAAATTTTTTTTCTAAATACCTCTCACTTATCTTAAAATTCCTAAAATTCTAAGTTGAAAAAAATATATGTATTATTGTAAACTCTAAATTAAAAATAAATTTAAATAAATAAGATAAATTCTTTGACCTCACTTTATTTACATTTTGAAAAAAAATGCAAAGTTCTAAAATTCATTTATTTAAAACAATGTGCCATAGCTTTTTTAAAGCTTTCTGTACAATTTGCATACGGCTGGCACAAAATAAAAGCTTACGCTGGCCAACACTGAAAATTTTAGGATCTTTCAAGATCAGTTGGAGGTATTGAAAAAAAAAAATTGCCAACAATTGCTTTTACGATTTTTTAAGTTTCGAAATTTTGTAATTTTTTTTTTTTTATACTGTTTTATATAGTTTTTTTGTATATCACTAAATATATACAATAGAACGAGACCAAAACCGGTTTAGTAACTATATTAGTTTTTGAGATATTCAAAAATTGAACTTTTAAAATCGCGGAAATTGTGAAATTTAGAATTTCCCAAACGTTCGAAAAATAAAATTAAATTTCTTTGGCACCAAATCGTTACATAATAAATGAAAAGCCAAGCTGACCAAAATCCATCCAAGTCAAAAATAGTCGATGCCAACCATTAGTCGATACTAACGGGAAGTGTGTCCAAATGATGTCAAAATGCGCTAATTGTGTCTTAACTAGCTCTCAGAAGACCCTCAAAGCTGAAATTTGCTGCTAAACAGTTAATGGGTCCTAAAGTGGGTTCTTGCATTCAAAAAGGAATTCCTCAAAATAAATACTATACAACTTCCTAACTGACTTAACCAAAGTTTTCGAGCTTACTATACCCGATAACTGGCCTGACTTTCAAACTCGAACGGAAGTAATGATATATGTATTAAGATGTTTAATTAATTACAATTACTAAAATGAAGTCATAAGCAATCACCGCACACTGTACACAAGCTCCCACATGCTTCATTGGTCCCAACAGTGCGCGACATATTGAACCGAAACGGTTTGTGGCAGTGGCATATGCGGCAATCACGCTGCCATATATACATACATATCTATGCGCTATTGAACCACGCGCTGTCCCATGAGATGCGATTCGCGATGCACGCTGGAGCGGCACGCCAAATCAAAGCGAGTTGGGGCGTAAACGTACAAAAATCCATAAATGCAAACACACATACATACACCTAAATGTACAAAAGCAAATTGGAAATGAAAATAAAGGGCACATATGCTGAAATGAACTAACGAAAATAAATATGTACATACATACATACATACAAACATATGTAATAAAAGCATAGCCGAAAAAAAATTGTACGTTAAAAAAAAATTGCGAAAAAAATCGCGAATAAAGTGAGTCAAAGTAATGCAACAAAATGCCTCGTACATACAAATATGGCGGGCGCAGCTCGAATGAAGTAAGCGTTGAACCAGAAATGGGATTGCTACGCTGGTCGCTGTCGTTGATATTTTGAAATTGGAATTCGTATTGAAAGCGAAATTTCAAATCAGCGCACAAATAAAGAATTAAATAATAAAAAAAATAAATGAAATGAAAATGGCATTAAAAATAGTCAGGAAAAAACAGCGGCTTCAAACTGAGTGGCTTAGTTGGCGACGCGTAGCCGGCCTGCCGTTGGATGCACAAAGGCAGAAAGTAGCAGCAGCGATATTAAGCGCATATGGATATCCACTTATGCGTATTTGTGTAGCTACATACATACATACGTACGTACGTATTTATACATAGCTCAACTGATTTGTGGGTGTGGATGCAAAAATTCAAAGCTATTGTCCAACTATGTTTTTCAGCCAACAACTTTTATAGGCATAGCTCTATTCATATGTTTGTATAGCTAGATATCTATGTACATATGTATGTATTTTATGAAGTAAACAAACGTGACTTGTACACAGTTGATGTTACTGACCTCAGTTGATGCGCGCGCCGGTTGCAGGTTCAATGATTGCCAAATACTACTAGCTAGCTGCTCTCTGCAATGTTGAAAATAATGTTCGTTCGTTTTGCTTGCTGGTTCCAATATTAGGAGTACATATATGTGTGTGCGTGTATGTGCGGGTGCGAGTGCGGTAGGTCGGTCGCACTATTGGTCACACTATGTTGATGTTAGGAATGGATCGGTTGGTTGGTTGGTTGATGGCTAGCTGCTGCACTCGACTGTTGAATTGCTGAGTGAAATGAAAAATTGCTGAGTTGATGGATTGCTGACGAGGTTTTTCGATCTTTTTGGGTTATTGTTGTTGTTGTTGTTTTTACCACAAATTGTTGCACTGCTGAATTGCCGAATCGTTGAATTGATTTGTTGCCTAGACAAGTTGCTGTTGGGAAGTCAGCTGCGGCAGCGTAATGCACGAAAGTCACTTTTGCGGGGCGCGTGTGCTAAGTTTTGTGCAATACTTCATTTTGGATGCATATTCATTTAAATTCAGTTTTATTTTTAAAATCTATAAAAATTAATTTTTTTTTTTAATTTTTTCCCACGCCTCTTATTTTGCTTATGTTGTTGTTGTGTTGTCTGTTTTTCACAAACTTTATTTCATTACATTTTTTTTAGTTAAATATATTTGTTAACTCGTAACTTGTAACTCTTTGATTGTTATTTTTGTTTTTTGTTTTTGTGAAATTTTAAGAATATAAAAAAATTGTTTTGCATATTTTGTTTGAAATTGTTACGCTAAATTTTTATATTAATTTTCCAAACGCTTGTTTCTTATATTTTTTAGTTTTTTTATTTTTTTCAGCTCAATTTTTTTTGTTAACTTTTATCTCTTTGAGTTTTAATTACTTAGGGTTTGCAAATTAGATTTTTTATTTTTAAATTTTTCCATATTTGGGTTATTTTTTTGTCAAACGCTTTTTTATATATACATTTTTTTATTATATTATAGTTGGTAAATAATGGGATTTCAACAATTTTATTGCACACATTAAAAAAAAAAATATTGTTCGTTTAATTTTTGAACTTTTTTTATTGATCTATTCATGTAATTTACATTTTCAACCACTTTTTATTAATTTCTTAACTCACTTCTTGTTTCTTAGTTAATTTTCACTGCTCTGCCCACCTTTCACTTACTTCTCCTTCAACTTTTTATAGCTACTAGCCAGTTGTTTTTCTTTTTACACTCTCTTCACTAAGTTTACTCCATTTGTCATACTTTGTAAATATTTCGGTCTTTGCTTAGTGGCGATTCTACTTAAATTGCGTTTATTCTAGTTTTTTTATTTATGTACGTACATACATACGTACGCGTTTCAAGATCTCTAAGTCGTCTAACTGCTACTAAAAACCACGACAAACTGCAAGAAAGAAAATACCTATAAATAAATAAAAAAATATTTGTATTTCTTTTCACCACACATTTCTTTCATACGAATAGCATATGCGGCGTATAAAACCGGTCATTGCGTTTAACATTCAAAATTTGTGTTAATAATTATTATTAAAGTGAGGAATTTGTGTTACCGCGGCAGCATCCGCCTGACTAAAGCACAAATTTTATGGTAGATTATTAGTTTGGAATTTTTTTTTTTCACTTCTTTATTTTATTTAATTATGTATGTATGTATTTACATTTTCTCTTTTCTCACTTGGCGTTAAATTTCGAATAAAAACCACTTATTATTTCAACATCTTCAGCTAAACAAAGATTTCAACGAGCAACGCAACAACTCTGTTTTTGGCCTGCTAGGCAACTGTCCGACTCCGATCAGCACGATCATTGGAAAATCACAAACAACCATGAAACGCAGTCCCAATTCAGAGTTTTGTGCTCACGTTCGGCTCAATTGCTTAACTGACGCTTGATATTTGTTTTCTTTTATTCCCCTTTGCACCTATTTTTTTTAGTAATATTCCTCCCTTCATTTTTATTGTACTCCGGAGTAGGCGTAAAGCAATGAAAGAAATAACACAATAAATCTGACAGCACTTACGTAGTATGTATGTACATATGGTATCCACCCCCGCTTCAAGATCAGCTGGAGAGAGAGGGAGAGGGAGTATGATCGACGTAGAGCGCTACAGGAAGTGATAGAGTAGGTATTCTAGGCATATCGTGAAGCAGCTTGGATGAGTAGATTTAAAGGCATGCCTTACAAAGTAAATGTGAATGTACAAATGTACAAATCGTGTGATCCCTGCTTAAGTGTCAAGTCTAAGCTGTTTTAGGTTAAAGTTATTTTATGAAGAGATAGTCGCTAAGCCCCCTCTTCTTAGTCCTAGATCTTAGTTCTTTGAAAAGAGTATTTTTGGCAGCTATTAATAAACGAGGGTAGTTCCGGGTGCAGAAGTCCACATAACTGTGGAAGCTTTTGACTGTCATTCACCAGGGAGTAGCTAGAAGTGATTCTTTTGCATGCGATTCAATTGCAACTCACGTCGCGACGCTCGGATATTTATTTGGGAGCGTGCTTAAGTTCAGAAGGCGAAAAACTTCGCGAGCTCTGGATCTGGAACCCCTCCCAATGAAAAGCAAGACAATGTCTCGGATGAGAACTCCTTCGGCCAAAATTTCTTTGCGTTTACACCGCCCATAAAGAAGAGGAAGCCATTGATAGGTTTGCTAGACCAGATAAAGCAATCGCATAATTTGTGAGCACGACACGACGGAGGAGCAGGATATTAAAACCAAAGAGCGCTTCGATGAGCTCCTTAGAAGGCACTTTGTTAATATCCTGCTTGGCGACATTAAAGTCCAGATGGGCTGTTGGAGGCGGACACTTATCTCTTCCGAGAATTTTCTCTGCAATGGAGAGAATACCAAGAGAAAAGGATGGAAATTAAACGTATTTGGAGCTCGATAAGCAGACAATCAGAACATCGTTGGGAGAATGGTATCATAAAATAATACAGCGATGAAGTAATGCAGAGATGGAGATGAAAATCGGAAACTGGTTTCACCCGAAATATGAGATCCCACCGTTTGCGCCAATCATTAAATGGGCATACACCGGCTTTTTCTATAGTTTCAAACCTCTCTCTTAATCTTATTAAAAAAAAAAAAAAAACGTAGTGCGAGCAGCCAATCTTATCGCATCAGAACCAGCAGAAAAGGTCCGATGCAGCACCAAGACCGTCAGTGCAGCATTTGCCAACTTAGATAAGAAGGTAAAACCTTAAGTTTATGGTACATCTAACATCCACCGATATCTTAACCGAAGAGGAGCGAGAACTCGGTTAGGAAAAGAAGACGAGACATGGAAACATGGCGGGTTCATTAGGAATTCAAAAAAAATTGGGCGCACTTAGTTATTTTGTAAATCGTAAAAATTAGTGTTCAAACTCTATTCGATTAAGCTTCCGACATAACTCGCATGCCTCGGCATATCGGCAGCAGTCAGTAGCGCACCCACGGAAGGGCTCAATATAATATTTCATCTGTAACCACTGCATATTTTCATCCATGGTACGGCTGCGAAGAGTGCCCTAAAACTCAGGGGAACCAATACGTGGAAGCCAACCAATTTCGGGCTTGTAGCAATACTGAATGAAATAAAAAGGGACTGGCTAAATGGACTCAACTACCAAGGTACCTATTCGGTTGCCGATCAGAGAAGGATGGGATATAGGACTATCCATCTACACTGATGGAGCAAGGAAATGAAGCCGATCTCTACTCGGAGGACCTGCAGATAAAACAGTATTTTCGTCTGCCGAACGATTGTAGTGCCTTCGAAGCAGAGATCTACGCTATTGATAGGGTGGCTAGTCTTACTTACTTGTCGATAGTCAAGCAGCTTTGAAAGCAACAGGCTCTAAATTACTAAAAACGAGAATTGAATGAAAATGTGCCACGTTGACATCACTCGGCCATATCAACTTCACTCTATGCTGGGTCCTCGGGCACAACAATACTGAGGAGAATAAGAGGTCAATTAATGAGGTGGTTACTCCGTTCTACCATATTTCAGTAATCACGTTGCCTCCTTACCTAACCTAACCGGACGGAGATCGGCAGAGGAGAGTATGTCGCTGTTCTTTCTCGAAACATCTTAATTGGAAACAGTGCGCCGTAAGCAAACATGTCTAGTGGAATGTCTTGGGATGGAATGCGAAGGAAATATGCAATTATTTGTAATGGTCATTTTTTTTTACGTAAGAGCAATTTGTTGTAGACGTGGCTGCAACTACAGCTTCCCCAATGAGTCATAGTAAAAGAAATCAAAAAAGACCTCACGCTAACCCCATTACAAAAAAAGGAGAAAAAAAAATAAAAAATGACAACAATTAGTTTAGCAACAAAGCGAGGAAGGAAGTTCGTGGTTTGTTTCCCCTTTACACTGAGCTGCTTAGCGGTTGTCGGTTTTGTTGTAGAATAATGTCCATTGTACTTAGAAGCTTATGTTGCTTTGGTTAATTTCTTTATTTTTCACAATTCGCTTTTGCGGTGGTTTCATTTCCCATAGTTGGTATTTGATATATACGCAATTATTTAGGTATGTATGTATGTATGTTGCTTTAATTTTATTGTCGCCAGTCGCCGGTTTCTTTGGCTTATTTATTATTGTACTGCCTACGTCTGTCACAGCCATCGGTACTTTACTGCTTCCTTCTTATTTGTTTCCTTCAACCGAGCGTCGTCTGTCACTCGCTTGTGACTTACAATTGAGTTTCTCACTGCCTTTGCTCCTCTACGCCCCGGCTTGAGCTCCGCACCCACGAACAATTGAAAAATCACATTCACATCGAATGGTAGATTTTTTGGTTTTATTTCTACTCCCCTCTTTTGCCGTCACTTCACTTCACTCGTTGGAGCACAGAGTCGCAATCACAGCTCAACTCAATAGCTACAGCTCAAGCGCACTCGACACAGCGTTGCGGTTGTGAGCGACGAGTAGTCATTCAATTTTTTTGTCTTCTTTGTACTTTTGTTGTTGTAATTTTTATTGTTGTTCGTTGGCAATACATATTGTTTGGAGCTGTCAACGTTGAACAGAGCTGAAATCATTGAAACCCCCAAGTAAGAACATGTAGGTACAGTAAAATGTGAAGCCAAGAAGAGCCCCAGAGCGATGTTGACGGCTGAGGTGGCATAAACAATACCAAAAGAAAAAAAGCCAAAAATAAAAAAAAACTATGAAAACCAGTAGACGATCCAACCAGTGAGCGGAGCAAATTCCAACCAGCGACCACATCGACGACGACAACAACAAAAACCGGAATTTTGATGAGCCCATTGAGAAGCGAAGCAACAGTTGGTGGGAGCGCGCGTATATGGAAGCTGCGGTGTCTTGAAAAGAGACATACGTACATACATAGTGCAAAGAGAGGCTCACAGTAGAGCGGCATCTCATGGCCAATAGCAACAACGTTATGCCAGCGCTAGCAGCACATTCCAAAGCGAAGTTGACTGTGGCAGAATCTACAATATTAGTCGGCAATAAAGTCAGCAGCGCTGCAGCTCAAATTACTGCCAATGGTTTGGCGCTGTTTGGCGTTTTTGCTCTAATTGTTGGTGATATCGCTGTGATGCCAACTTTTTATTGCTCCAGTAGTTGTGTGTCTGTGTAAGCAAATCGCCGCCACTATGGTGCATTTTCTCCGTCTCCCTTTCTCGTCTTCTACAGCTCCATCTGGTTAACATCGATCTTGACGTTCGCCAGCATAGCGCTTTGGAAATGGAGTGGAACAACGCGCTGGCTGACTGGCCACAATGCAACAGCAAAGCACACCTACACACACACACACACACACACACTTCCATGCAAGCATTCTTCATTAATGGAGCATATACATACATATGTACATAGTTGTAGATGAAATTCAAGTCAACTATTACAAGATGAGCGCTGACTTTTTAAGTATTTTGCAAAAATTGTAGTACTCGACCGCTTGGCGACGACTTTTCATTGCGACAGCCAGTTTTGAGTTGCTCCATTCGCTACACTGTTGCAATTCAAGATCGGTCAACGATATCGCATCGCCAATATTGATGGCGAAGTTAATCACTCAAGCGGCAGCTGTCAACCAATCAACCATAAATATGTAACGAATCGAGGCTGCAGGCAAGACTGACCAGACCAGACCAGACCAACTTTGCGATCAATACAGTCATGCCCAAGAGCATTTCAATACATAGATCAACTCAAACTGTTCTCAATGCAGGCTGTTCTAGTCAATCGCGCAATCGCATATTCGATTCAATCAACCATTTATCCCACTTTCAATGCTGGCATTTAGAAGCGCTTATAGGTACAAGGCTTTCTAACCATCCATCCACCCATCCATATACCCATCCCATGAACCAACCATACAGCAGACCAACAGCACATTTATTGAAAATGCATAAATTTGTGCACACATTAGTAGCTACAAACATACATACACTTGTAAGCATTTATGTATGTCGTTACATCTAACCATTCAACCATGAAGACCAAAAACAACACGCAACGCCAATTCACACAAGTACACAAGTCAGTTAGTCAACCAGTCAACCAGCCAACCAGTCAAGCCAGCCTACTTATTTGTATTGTGGTCCACCATCAAATGAATTGGTTAGTGAATGTGTCGCCGCTAATCAATAGCCAATAGACACAAGATGGCCAACCGCCATTACTACGCATAGATACAAGTCATTTGAGCGTTTCAATGACCGGATGAATAACGGATGGGCGGATGAACAAATAGGCTGTTGGCGGTTAGCTGGTTGACGGTTTGCCGAACGAACGGATGCTTGTACAAAGAATTGTGCATTTATTGAAGTAGGCAGGTGACTAGGCGTCTAAACTGTTTTGCTGCAATGGGGAAAATCGGTTTGTTGGGTGCAGGGGCAGGGGTGGAGGAGAGCGATTAAATCTATAAATGGTAAAGAAAAGTTCAAAACTCGAGAGGAAAGGTTCATATGCGCGTACATTTCGTTCTAATCGAAAGCCTGACGAGTAGAGGAGGCTAAGTGGAGATACCCACGCCTGTTAATGAATAACAAGTTTCTTATAAATACGGTGACCATCCGTATTTTATTTCAAAGTACAGCCCTTTTTGTTAAGGAGCTGTTCTTTGACCTTATTTATTTTACTAAACATCAATTTTGACCCAGAGGGTAGCCCGATTTCGCTTCTACTTTGCAACATAATATCCTGTTGAAGGAAGCCAGTCTATATCCCCTCACGAAGCCCATAAGCACAACGGATTAATTCCAATGCCTTAATCAGCGCCCTGAAATGCAAGCAGTTCAGTACCAATTGGCAGTGTGGGGGGGGGGGGGGGGGGACACAGTGGCCATCTGGGTAGGGCCGAAACCAACCTAAAGTCTCTGCCTTTCTTCGGGTCCCGGCACCTGGTTGAAATGCAACTCCACAATGAACCATTGCCACCACGTTACTCTTCGAAGGGCCGCACCATAAACAGGCCGAAGTAATGTTCGCCAGACAGACCAGTTCAACCCGCCAGCCTCGCCTGGCTCGCTCAACCTGCACAACTCGCTTGACACACACTTGCAAAACTTATTCTCATACACACTCGATGTACCTGCCTTGCGCGCCTTGCTCATCCAGCTAGTTTTGCCCCTCCAGCCGGTGAACGCACTCCGGGGCATCTGTTCCCCATGGTACCAGAATTAAAAGTGTGGTCAGATCTCGAAAGCCGAAGACTTCTGGCATTTGAGCTCATAAAAGTATTGCTCACAGAAGATACATTGGTGGAAAATGAAAATAAGTGAGCAACTTCTCGTTAGCGATCTTTCATGAAGACACTATATCAGACGCGGAGGATGAAAAATAACCCCTTTGGTGTTCATGAAGTGGCGCTTTAAGCTAATATACCAGTAAATGAGTTGAGATGCATAGCAGAGTGCAAAGCTTACTGTATCTGAGTTCCGTCACATTAGACTGGGGAACCAAGGTATCCCATATTAGATATCGACATCTTGCAACATCTCAGAATAGATTTAACATAATAGATTTTACAAAGAATATGGGTTTAAGCATATTATCTTTGTATAACCATAAATTACGCCATTAACAAAATCAAAGCGACAGAGCGCGTTTAAAGTCTCACTGAAAAATCTTCGGCTATCGAAGTTAACAGCATCAGCCTCATCTGCAACTTTGACGCGACCGACAATGGGAAGCTTCACCGCACCGCACGTATAATTGCTACATTCAACAGGCCGCGCACAAGAGCCGCAACGCGCAATCAAGCGAGTGCACAAGCACACGCACACTAAACTGCCGAACACAGCGCGGCGCGGCGCAATGGCGGCAGCGCGCGATTTCCAGTTCGTTTCGTGGCTCGCGGCTTACAGAGCTCACATTTCGCAAAGTAAAAAAAAAAAACAAAGAAAAACCAGGAAAAATAACAAAGCAAATAAAACAGCTAAAAAATCACGTTTATACCGTTTTCATAGCCGCGGCGGTTTGATGTTGATTTTTCAAGAGCAAATCTCGGTATGTAATGTGATGCCGCGCAATGCGGTGCGGTGAGGAGAGGAAAGGCGGCGAGCTGCCGCCATGTGTGGTGAGGTGAGTAGTGGAAGTAGGTTCGTATGTGAATATGGTTAGTTGGGGCGGTAGGTGGCAGGGTGGAGTGAGATGTGTGCGCGCGTGTGTGTGTGTGTGTGTGTGTAGTGAAGTGAAGCGCTCGATTGATGGCCGCACAGATCGCTGAAATACAATATGTAGGTACATATACGTAAGCGTGTTTAGCTGATTGTTTGGAAATTTTTGCGGCCGTCGCGCTAAGCTGTGCCGCGATGTGCGCGCGCTGTGCTGTGCTCTGATGGTGGGCGCTACTAGCTTCCATTGCTAAACGATGGAGCTGGCGTTGGAGCTGGAGCTGCTGCTGCGCTGCGCATCTGATTCGCTGTTGGATGGAGTTGTTAGCTTCGTAAATAATTTGGCCATTACTTTTCTGTTGAATTTAAACGCTGCGATTTTGTTATTAACGGTTTGTATGTATGTATGTACCATATGTAGTAAATGCAGGAAGTAAGCGAATTTAATTGATTTGAAGTTATTTGTTTTTTTTTTTATATGAGTTGGGTGCGCATATGCTTGCATACACAGATAAATACATATGTATGTATGTACATTCGTTTTAACGATTTCTTTTTTTTCTCCAATTTACCCGATTTAATAGCTCGTTTTAAGACAAATTCCCAGCACGTAATTTGTAATTTTTTGTTTTTTGATTTTTTCAGTTGTTATTTATAGGTTCCAACGACGTCACTTTTCAGCGTTGGTAACTGCCATGGTAACCAATACACAGGCGCAGTTCAAGTTGCACCCATACATATGCAATAACACATTTACAACTCTACATATGTATGTATGTATGTGTGTAAATATGTATATGAATGTGTATGTGTTTTTATACAGAAGAATGCACGTTTGTCAAGTACACTCTGGAATTTCTTGAATATTTTTTTTGGCTTGTCTTCGGAAATTTCATAATTTTTGTTGCTTTTTATATCCTTTTAAACGCTGCGCCCATGACATTCTTGCTTATTTCCCCGATTCGTTCACTTTATCGCCACTTCTTTTTACATTTATCGTCGTCACTCAAACCTTTTCAGGAATTTTTAACTGCCTTTCTACTACTTTTCCCATACTTGTCTGTTCAACAAAAACATAAAAAAAAACCCAAAAACTTGTTTAATTGCACCGCATCGTTGAGAAACCGTTGAGTTGAAATTGTCGCATACATATTTACACACAAACATACATACATACATAAGTTTGTACGCACAAAGTCGCCGCTTTAAACAGAATATATCAGTTATCATTCATTTTCTTGCATTTGCGCGATACGCCTACCTAGTTGTTAATTTTTCTTTTTTTCTTTTTGCATTTTCACCTTCACCGTCACTTTAGCTATTGCATCTTTTCATGTTTCCTCGAAAATTTTCTTCAATTAACTGCGCGGCGTCTTGCGTCTACACACTGCTTTGGCTACCCAGAGCAACACACAAACACAATCATCCACTCATTTCACACATATATGTAGCACCTTAATGGCACACACACACCTTAATATTTTTGAAGTATCTACATAAGTATGTACTTAGTCAGCAAGCGGGCCTGCCTCAAAAAACAACAAAAATTGGTAACGCGCGCACACGCTCTAGCTACATACAAATGCACGTGCTGCAACACTCCGTAAAACACGTCCGCGAACAGGTAAATGCGCTGGAAAACTATTTGAGCCTCACTTCAATTTCGACGAGCTCACCACCAACATCGTCAGCGTCAGACCAGCTAGCGCGCACTTTAGTGTATGTGTGCGAGCGCGCGGTAAGAGCGCGTTGCGTCGCCGCGCAGTTCCTATACTTTTCTTTGCCAAGAACAGCTAAACAGCTAAAGCGCCAGCTTATGAAAGTCATTTTGAAATATGGAGAATATTTACTAATATTTAAATTTTTGATTACAATTGAATACAAAATTCTGGAAGATTTCCTCTCGCGTCTATTTTTCGCGTGCGCTTATGCTCTTTCCCACGCGTCATACAGCGCGCCGCTCGTTGTTGATCTGTGTGTAACGCTCGCGCAATCAAAAATATTTCCCATGAAACACACATGCACACACACACTCAGCCCCACTTAAGTGAAATTCATTCGAATCGAGTCTGCTGAATCGTTAAATGTCAATAACAGACATTCGCACTCTCGGCTGCAAGATCGTTAAATTTCTATATGTATGTAGCTACGCCAACATACATCGGTTGGCTGATTGCCAACTTTACTGTTGTTGCTGCGCTGTTTTCACACTCACAATTGGCTTGATCTCGTACCTGTTCGTTTCGAGCTAAAAATTCATTGTTCGTGCTCACTAGTTGGCTAGTCGCTAGTCGACGTTGGCATTTCGAATTTTTTGTGGTTAACAACCTTTTCTCTGTCGTAGCTCTCGCGCTCCTTGATTTACCTGTTCACTTCACTTAAGTGAAGTACGTGTGCGCTCTCACCTGTAACTTGTATTTGTATTTGCCACATTTTACCTGCCTGTGTGCGTTCTCCTACTTATCTGAGTAAAATTGCTGGCACCGCCAGTACAGATACGCAAACAGGTAACAAGACGTTGGTCTCTTTCTGGTACATAATTGCATTTAGATAATGCTGCCGCGTTACCAACGAATTTGGAGTTTTATTGGAGCATTGCTTGTGATCAGTTTTGAATGCAGACATGAGCTAACGGCTGCTTCAGTAGAAATGGCGCATCTTGAAACACTTAGTAAAACAGACTATTTCATATTTCTTAAAATTAATGAAAATAAAAAATGGGGATTACTTTATTTTAACGCCAATCTGATCAGCTTTCTCCTTTAAATTTTTGGTGATTTCGATCTCTCTTCTAACGACATTTCATATGGAATGTTAGCTTTGAAACCCAGGCTGATGTGAGGGAGCTTTCGGTAGTTTTCTTTAAAATATTTCCCACCGTTATCGCTTCACTAAACATAATCTTTAAGAAATCACTAGCATTCGATGCCTACATTGATGATTGGAAATTGGCAACACTTGCATGTAAAACACTCATTTGTAAAAGTAGTAAAAGAATGAATGACACCAATTTCCAAGCTTTCGACTATTTATTTCCAAACTATTCGAAGCTACTTTGCTACGAAAAGTTTGATTTCTTCCAACCAACATGGTTTTGTAACATAAGGCGACTCCTAACACTAAGCGCCTAAATGCATGCTATGCACTGCTGCATCTGCAAAAATTTTATTTATGAAATGCTCTGTGTAAGCAGTAAATTGTTGCTCGTAGGTGCTAAAAGTATGCAATGTTTTCTTTAACTTTCATGGACTTCTCAAATGTCGCTTGAAAAAAAAATGTATTTAATAGGTGCAATCCCGTATTTCTCGGACTGGACTAGTAAAACTGTCAAAAAATAAAAATTCGCTCAGAGCGAGAGAGTAACATTGAAAAGTACGGAATCGCTTTCTAGTAAAAAATGGTAACTTCTGTCAACTTCAACATAACCTCCAACTTTTGGTTGTAAATTTTTGCTTATTTTGTATGTAAACGCACTCAGTTCACACATGTAAATAACCAAAAATTCATTAGAATCCACTTAAACAAGTAATTAAATACTTTTCAACATAAATTAGCAGAGTGCACGTTTCTTTTGTTTACAATTTGGTTGCCAAACACACTACAGCTGATCGTTTGACACATTTACCAGAATTTACCAGCGAAAAATTCTCGGCCTAAAACTGCTAACTTTTTGTCCTCTCAATAGTCAGAGAACCGAGTACGGGATCGATTTCCAGTAAAATCTGACTGATTCTGACTATTCCGGACTCGTACGGGATCGCAACTAATTTATAAGTTCCTTATCCTCCATTGCTATTATATAGAAGTTTATTGTATCAAACTCTACTTCTCTTTTCAGGTTCTTCTGCAGCAATTTGTCAACGACGATGGACAACTATTATCTTACAAAAACTGGGCGTATTTATTCTTCACCTTAGTACCAAGTATAAACTGAAAACAGACAAGGACGGAGAAAGGATCAGTCAGTGTCTAGACGGATGAGACCCAGTACAAAAAGGTTGCAAGTGGTGCGTACTCTGCATAGTTGGGAGTATCTTCAAGCATCGTCTTGTCTGACACCAGCAGAACAGATGACTTTCGCAAGGCCACCAAAACTGGCTGGTACTGTGTGATACGATACCAGGTGGCGGCTATCAAATCTCTGAAGAAAGTTGTTGATGATTACATTAATAACTTGAAACCCTATGCGGTATACTAAAGGATGTTGGGTCTAAATAAGACCCGTCATCAACTGTCACCTAACCTAGACTATCCTAGCACCAAGTAGAATGTTACTACTTCACTCATACTATATGTAACTATTCGCTCCTCTATCTCCCTCTATTTCTTTATATATCACAGATTTTCTGCAAGAGTGTAATTTTCCAAAAAAATCAAAAACTCGGGAAAACGGCTTTCTAGTAGAAAATCATTTCAAATTCTATATATACATACATACATATGTACACACATACTCAACGTTCATGTTATGGCCAGTGCCACTAAAACTGTCGATTTGCCAATCAGTTATGGAGCAAAAATGCACTACCTAAATCGGTTAGGGACCAAATTAACATTACCTACATTGGCACTCAAACATATAAACCTGAAGCAGCAACGACACAAACCCCAACACATTTCTGTGGGACAAGAGTACACTTCCAGCTCGAAAGCGGAATGAGTGGATTGTGTTTGCTTGTTTGTGTTGACAACCCTGCAGGAAATGCATCTAGTAACTATTAGTCCTATTCCCACAACATCGGTCATAACAATAACAATGACAATTGTCACCATCAGAGCGCTTAAAATAAATTTGCGGCATAGCTGATTGAAAAAAAACGTTTGTTGATGTTACTGGAACCAAAAATTAAATCAGGGATCTCCAGAGTAGCAGTATTCACTTCTAAATAAGCACTCGGATACGGTGGCAAGAACACTACTCAAAACCGAAAAATTTCAGAAAAAATGCAATGAAGTATTAAAAAAGGCCAAACATGAATTTTTCAATGATTTTCCTATTTTATGTTTGATATAAAATTTTTTTTTACTTATTTTGCTCTGCTCTTTTCTTAATAAAAGCTAAAAATAAAGTTTTATCATATTTTTTGGTCATGACTTCATATAAAAATAAGCATTTTCACTGTATAAAAACTATGTAAAATAAAATCGGTTTATCCGGATTTTTCTTTCTGTCAAAATCGGTAACCGTTTTTTTTTTTTTTCAAATTGCAATTTTTTTAATAACTCGAAAACCAGTTTTTGGATAAATGACGAATAATCGAATACCTCAATCGCTACCCAGATCTGCAGCACTTCCATCGGTGTCCTATTGTTTTCGTGCGTTTACTGCTTCCTTTTTGAGGTATTTGACGAACCTTTGGCGTTGCTTTAAGCTCCTCCTGTTCCTCAAGTTTTCCTTTTGGCATCTGGCTCTGTGAAGACCATCCTCTAACTACTTGTATACACCTTGCCCTGTCTTCCTCATCGCGTTTGAGTATTGTACGATTTTTGGATTTTTCGCAGTCTTTTGAAGCACCTAAAACGCCTTCTTAATCTGTTGATTTTTTAGGAGCAGGCCTACTATGGGCAAATACTTTCTTTTTGCTGATTCGTGGCTCTGGTTCTTCTGCAATACTATAGCTAGTGCAACCAAGAGTGGTTGCAATCGTTCTACCTGTATTCATATTATTATTGCTGTTGCTTGTCAGTTATTGGTGGAGTTTTTCAATAGTTTTTTTTTCATTCTAGACCGCCCACTTAATGAAGATAACCTTGGGCATATAATGCCTGAGTCCACAAAAAATTGACGCGTTGTTTGTAATATGGAATGACTAAACTATAAAAATGCGGCAAGCGAAACAATTCCTAACGACAGCTCTATGGGAACAATGAAATAGAGCAATAGTAGGTTTTTAGTGCGGTAAGCTGATGGGAAAATCCCAAACTGTTTAATTTTCAATGGTTTTTACCACCGTCCAAAAAAGCTTCCTGCCCCACAAACACATATAAAAATATAATTTCTTAGTGCCGCTCTAATCATTATGCATGACACGCTCGATATTTGCCTTCTTCTCTTTTTAAGTTCCAGCGACCAGTGCGTATACGTAACCAAAAGTTTTGAGCAATCGCACAAACGGAAACGTAAATCACTGTGCAAAGGCTGTACTAACGGTAATAGCAGTGCTTTGTAAAAACGCGCACACACAATATCGCTAGATTTGAAATATTTTTTCTGATTTGAGTGTGGCCATAAGTGTGCATATCTTGAAGACCTTGAAGTCAAGTAAATTAAACCATTTGGCAGCAACAAAATAAATTAGTGCGCTCGGCTTTTAAACAATATAAAATTGTAGAGAGTTAATAAGTATGCAAGGCAAGTAGCTTAAGCTCGCACACACTTCGTTTGTGGGCTGTAAAAATTTAATTAATCAAGCCACAGAGGCGGTTAAGACATTAGAAGCCAAAGCCAAGTAATCCAACTACGAGCGCAAATAAAACAGTAGCCCTTCAAAGTAGTAAAAGAGAAAGTGTTTGCGGTGAGCGATTTAAATTTTATTCAATCAACGCAACCGTCGAATCGCGCACCGACAGTTAGCGTAATATTTAGTGTCAGACACATACATAAAGCATGCATATGTATGTATAAATGAATATGTGCAACCCCGCCACCACTGCCAAACAAAGCAAAAAAAAAGGAATGAAAGCTGCGACAGTCGTAAAAAGAACCTGTTGATTTAATTTATGCATTTTAAGGCGGATGGCTGAATGAAGCACTTTACTCAATCCAACTTGCCGCAATCATCCATTTACAAACAAACATATGTA